ATTAATACATTAATAATGCTTAATTAAAGTTATTTAATTTTTATTGTAACTTATAATATTATTTATTAATATCAATATATATTAATATTAATAGATTATGCAAATTTATGTGGAACATTTTAAACGTGCATTTAAAAATACAAAGATATTCAATTAATTTGTAATTATATATATACACACATACATAAAATAAGAAATACTTTGTAGTATACGTGCGTTTCAGGTAAGATATGTGCTTTGTATGCAAATATAATAAATAAAGTTAAATAATCTTTAAATTAACGGCGTTTATCGATGTGTCAACACATATTAAAATTAGCAATGTAATGATATATATTACATTCGCGATAGAAGATTTCTCAGCTTTCATTATAAGGGAAATTTCACCACGTCAGTCCTCATTGTAACGAGATTGCACTGTTATCATTACATGCAAATATTGCAATACGAAAAACGCATTTATTATTTTGTTGACATCGCGATGATATTATTTTCATTGTTGCATTCATGACTTTGTTTAAATGTTAAAAATAGACTTATTTTTTACTTTACTCAAGGTCTCTAATTCTTCTCTAATAATATACGCGATTCTACTTATAATAGTAGTAGAAATTTCTTTCGTATCAATAAAATTCCTGTTAAGTTAGTGCGGCTGCGTCGTCGCTGTCAGAAATAAACAGATTTACATACAAATGTTTTTCTCAGAATATATTACGGCGATACATTTTGTAGATACTATTCGCGGCCATGGCTGGTTGTAATTTATCTATCAGTTTCGCTATATGGGTCTATTGTAGTCTTGTTTAATATTGTTACATAGTTATTATAATTTGTCACCGAGAATTTATATTTCCGTCAATTGTATTCTTCGAATGTAACAACGAAAAATTACCGCGCGATAATATCAATGGTATGAAAACTGCGCTTTAAATGACTCTTTCGTAGTAAATATCACATTGTGAATTAATTGCGTACAAGAATAGCTTCGGGCAGTACAGTAACACTCTTTACGATTTTCCAAGAGAGATTTTCCTTTTACATAATTTATGAAGAAAAAACTCTTTTTTACTTAAGAAATAAATAAAAATAAACTTAGATTTGCGTTATTTTGATCCGTTAAAAATATATCTTGTTCTTATTGATGTTATAAATGTATCTTGCTTTCGTGCGAACATTTATTGCTCGGCGATAGTCATAATAACTCTTAACCACAATTTATTGGCACAATATTAAAAAATATTGATCCATTATATATATATATATATATATTC